GTAAATTATTTGGTTATGGGCATTTCTGCATCTCATAGGAAGCAAAGAATACCGTGAACAGCTCGGATTATGATAGACAATCTGGACTTTGCGGTTGAACCAGCTCCTCTATTCTAGAGGCACTAACAAATGCAGATAAAGGCGGCCAGTGTACAAACAATATCTGAAGCAGTAGGTCTCAGTATACACAAAGGAAAAGCAAGATCCCTACATTCAATACAGTGGATACCAACGAAATCACACTTCAGGGCAAGATCTAGAATTACATACTTGTGCAACGTCATTGATAAACAAAGTGGATCTAATACAGATACGAACATGCGGATAAGCAAAACAGGCCAGCACTTCTACAATCGAAGACCATCTTCAACTCAAAACAACTATCGACCAACACTAAAGTCACGATTTTCGATACACACATCACGAAAGTTCTGTTGCATGGAGCGGAATCTCGGAGAACTACGAAAGTCATCATCCTTAAGATACATGTGTTTATTAACAGTTGTCAACTCAAGATACTGCGGATCCGTTGGCTAGACTCCATCAGCAACAGGCTATTGTGGCAGAGACTGAACAATCTTCCAGCTTAAGAGGAAAATAGGAAAATATACTGGAGGTGGATAGGATAACCAACCAACTGCGACAACACGCAAGCCCTCACCTGGAATGCTCAAAGTAAAGCGACAGACCAAGGGACAAGTTGAGCGATGACCCGAAGACAGATATCAAAAGAATGAATAGCTATTGGACAGAACGTGAAAGTAGGAAGGCTTACGGGATTAAGCAAGTCAATACTTAACATTGGTTTGTTTAAGAATACTATGGGAAAAATAGGAAGATGGATGACAAACCAAAACATGGAATTAGTTGATAAACCCACGAAGTACCGATCTAATACATTCAGAGCAATGTAGGCTTCTTGATGTGTTCGGAATATTGATGTGGAAACTTTGTTGATCTGTTAGGTATTTTAACATAACAGAAATGTGCTCATGTTGGCAAGGTTACATGATCGTATGGCAAAACGTCATTTAGATATCAGTTGTACACCTGACTTTTACAGCTAGACTAAAGTCACATTGCCGCCGAAAGTGAAGCAGATTAGAAAAACCTTTGTACCTCTCACGATACAAAAAATAATCTTATTTACAACAGAACAACTTTTAATCAATAGGCAAGTTTATTTTAAAGTCGATGTTTCGAATGATTTCTATGCAGTAATCTCCACTGATTCACAATCATCTTGCTGGATGCTCATGACTCGAATAGTTCTTATTGAAAATGATTAGTATGAATGGACAATCGTTTTCACTAAATTTATTTTCAAGCTCTACAATTATAAAGCCAGGATGACCGAAACAGAGCACTGTCATTTTGGATAACATCAGAGCTTAAGTCGTGTAGAATTCCTCCAGTCAAACCTTCTAACTTATAGAACATCACATTACCAGAAGCATCCATTTCAGATACAAATCGTCGTCATTTCAAAACCTATTACCTTTATGTTAAACTAGTCGGTAAATTTTTCAAGCATCACTCCTAACACATAAATTTTTGACAGACCAGTCTATTCTAAATACCAGTTTACGTAATCTTGTCTCATCATTTAGTGTGAAATACATTCAGAGAAAGTTTCCGCGCCCACAGTTTTCTGCCATTTGGTCGAACCATATACACGAGAATAGAATGTAAATCCTATTTTTACTTCGTATACATTCTGTCAACAAATCACGTCGATACAACGTGGATAATAAAAGCCGAATACTAATAGTTTTATTAAACCAGTGTTTCTCTAATACTGAAGAACAGACAAACAAATAGAAAATTCAGCGATGTTATGACGTATTGGGGTTAGGTAATAGCTTAACATAAATAATCGATAAGATAGATGAATCAGTTTTTATATCAGCATGAACGAAATAATAGAAGATAGACACACACCAACCTGTTTCAACACACACACACACATGTTAAAAAATGATCAAGGCTGCACGTGAATACTCTACAAGGTCAAATAGTGTGATAAAATGCCTGGAAAGATTAGGGTTTGTTTGTCAGTCCAAAAGCTAAAATGAATCATGTGGTAGTTGTGATGAAAAAGTCGTCATAAAACCAGCATGATCAAATTTACCTGAGTTAGTTAGTGAATGATTTAAAAGTTATATACATCAACCGTCAAAACTATGCCTATGCCAGCAAGACCCCTGGAAGCAGCATCAGGGCTAGCGGATACACGAAGAGTAAATCAAGCTGCTTCTTTATTTTGACAAGGTCAAATCAGATTAATAATTTTACTAGGGTCCTGTATGCGCGTTTCTGAGACGCAGCATACATCGATGGTACGAGATTCTAAAGTCCTAGCTAAGGAAGCCTGTTGCCCTATTTGACACAATGTCCGTACATTAAATGCTCCAACATATAGTCTAGAATGAGATTTCAAGAGACCAGGAATGACGTTTCGTGAACTCGCATCGTTTGCATTAGCGGTGCAGTCAGGTAAGGGAATGTGAGTAGAGTTAGTTGTGGAGAGAAGAGAGGTATATGTGGGTGTAGGAAGGATTTGATTTCGATCAATTTGGTCTCTCGTGCTGTTACGGGTATGAGGGCGGTTATCACTTCCCGGCTGCCCACACCGTGGAAGGTTGTTTCTTGAGGGACGTGAAAAGGAATATAGATTAGTGTTGGTCTTAGAGACCTGGGAGTGTGACCGCAGAGCTCAGGGGACAACTGCTTGAGGCCGGTCACGCACGGTGATCATTTGGTCTTAAATCGTTTTAATTATTATTGACAAATGGTACACTAGCAGTCCATTGATACAAAATAAAGACAGGTAGATTTGATGTGTTCACATGTTTACATAAAAAAGAGAAGTGTACTGGAATCACGGTAAGCTTTGATAATGTCATTTTTAGCACTCATTGACAATGTGTCTCGTGAACCTCTATCAAACTTATACTTTCAAGGATAATCAGATCTGTTTCATCCAGCGTTATTACAAGATAAAATAATTGTCATACTTCCCGTGATTCATTTATGAAGTTTAGCCAATCTAGCATCCTTTAATTATAATGTCTAATGTCATATCATGCGACTACTACCCAAAGAGAAGTTTGTGTTTTAATCTGTCATATGGTGCTTAAGAATTATGAGTTTTATTTCTAAGCCTCTGCTCATTAGTCAATTTGACTGGCAAAATTAAATTGACAAAGAGAACTAGAACTTATTGTAATCTACATCATATTCAATCAAAAGGGAATCAAATTTATTAGTTAAATCATATGGTTTTTTCTAGTTCTTTGAAAATTATTTATATAATCGATTAACAGTAGTTAGAAAACTTAAACACAAAAAATATTAGGCAGTTGTTTTATTAATGTCTAACTCTGATTGGTCTAGGTATTTTGTGCGACCTCACCCATTTGTTTTTGGTAGTTACTGCCTACACCCGACAGGGTTAAACTCCATTGGTCACGTCTTCTCAACTAGAACTCCGAGAATTTCCTCACGAAGCTAGTCACTAGTGAGCACTGTTACGATATTTTGGGGCACAGTTTTGGAGGTTTGCTTTTTTTACACATTTGAAATCATCAATCAATCATTGTTAGTACGCCATTAGAAACCTGGAAGCACTGGACGGCCGTTTCGTCCTGGTATGGGACTCATCAATGGCAGTATGCATCCACGACTCCTGCTCCTCGCAGGATTCGAGCCCGGGACCTTTGTCATTGTAAGCGAACGCCTTACCATCAGAGGAAGTTACCTTTTGACCTAATCACTACATATCAGCATGATAACTGTTTAGAAGTGAATCTTTATTCCCAGTCTTCTACATATATAATTCACAATATACATCGATGAGAAGTTTCAAGATGAAACTAAGTGGTTGTCAATCACATTTTATTTTCACGAGCACTAATCAGTATCTTTTATCGTTCACCAATTACACTGACCAAATATATGATACTTGGTTTTGGAACTCAAATGACTTCGTAATTAACAGATTGTTTTTATAATTAATATTGTTTTACGACTGATTCAGAATAACAATCCAATCGCAGAAGGCGTACCTACTTTCTGTGAACAGAAAGGATTTATTATAGACCAATTGACATACTTACTTTACTAACGCCTGTTACCTCTCACAAAGCATGGGCCGCCGACCAGTATTCGCTAACCTACTCTGTCTTGGCCCTCCCTTTCCACTTTGTCCGACTGTTGTTCAATCTTCTCATGTCTGTTTCCATTTCACGGCGTGATGTGTCCCTTGGCCTTCGTCTTTTCCTTTGACTTTGAGGTTTTTAAGCGAGGGCTTGCCTTGTGATACAGTCGGGTAATTTTCTCAATGCTTCTTCCTGATTTCTTCCTCCACTGGAATCTGGTTTGTTCTCTCCCTCAGTAGGTTGTTGCTGATAGTATCTGGCCAATGGATCCAACTGACATGATTACGTTAAATGGGCATATTTTGATAATTTGCAAGTCAATAGTATTACTGAACATATAGCAAGCTCATCATTATTGGACTCAATAGGCTAGTGGGCTGACAGAAGTCCAGTTCATAACAACACAAAGCTTAATAATTCAATAGAATTACGTATTTAAAATAACCACTAATATAGTGAAGGAGAACACAGGTGGGGCAACCGAATTGTATTTAACGAAAATTACAGAGTTACTCAGTAAAATTGGAAAACCGTATCGTAACCACTGTTAATTTTCAAATCTTCAATCCATCATCAATCCATTGTCTGACATTTCACTATTCATGCGTTTCATACAAATTCCATTGTGTTCCCACTCTTCTTCCTTTCTTGATCTTCCCCCATCTTCTGCTGCCAGACATTACGTTGACACTCACGTCAAATACTACTTATAAGTAGCTCGCACCACACTATTCCCTTTTAGGCATTGATTTAAAGTTTTATTATATTTTCGCTATAGTTTAATCATTTTGATTTATTGATTTCAGATTTCTTTCTGTTTATTTTTTTTTCTCCACATAGAGATGGTTAAGACTTTTCGATACAAACGATAAAGGCATAATTACAATTGAAGATGTTAGTCGTACTCTGGGTGTACCACCGCCAAAATTTTATGAGTAAGTAATTATTGAAATGGTTATTTTTAATATGAATCTATCAGTGTCAATCAATTCACGGTTTATTTTATTTTTCAATCGAAATAATAATGTTTCTCTTGCTTTGCCAATCCGTGTTTGTACATCTACATCAGATCCCTCATTTTTATCACATTGTACTGAACGGGTCTATGAAGGTTGTCATATTGTAGTGAAGGAGAACACAGGTGAGGGCAACCAAATTGTATTTAACGAAAATTACAAATGACATAGTCCTACTTGATGAAGATGCTGACAAAATGCAGAGTCTTCTGACTACCCTAAGCAACAATGCAAGCATGTTCGGGATGCGGTTTTCCCACTCGAAATGCAAAATGTTGCTTCAAGACTGGGTTGCATCGGCACTTGAACTAGTGATAGGGAGTGAAGTAGTCGAACGTGTAGACCGCTTCACTTATCTTGGGAGTCTCATCAGTGCCGATGGCCTGGTGACTGACGAAATCTCAGCTCGGATACAGAAAGCTCGATTGGCTTTTGCCAACCTGCGTCACTTATGGCGTAGGCGTGATATCCGTTCTCTAATCAAAGGACGAGTGTACTGTGCAGCAGTTCGCTCCGTTCTCCTATATGGCTGTGAAACATGGCCAGTGAGAGTAGAAGATATTCGTACGTTACTAGTTTTCGATCATAGGTGTCTTCGAAGCATTGCTCGTATATCGTGGGACAACTGAGTAAGCAATGTTGTCGTTAGGAAACGAGTACTAGGTAAGGATGGCAGATCAATCGATGAAGTAGTGAAACTTCATCAGATGAGGTGGTTGGGACATGTGTTGCGTATGCCTAACCACCGACTGCCTCGACGAACTTTGTTTTGTAGTGTAGGAGTAGGTTGGAAGAAAGTTAGGGGCGGCCAGACCAAAACATGGCATAAATCGATGAAGTCATTGACTAGTGGACTTAGCCATGTCGGTAATTGTCGACTACGTGGTTGGGGTCCGCGAGATGATAATAATCGATGGTTAGAGACCTTGAACGACATAGCGCGCACCACAATATCTTCCAAAGTTTCTTCGTCAAGTGTGATTTGATTGATGCATGTTGTGTTGTATTTAAGTATCTTGCTTTTTCATTTATGTATACTGAAGCTTAAAGCTTCAAAGGCTGATGCTATACTGGCCCACCTAGCGTTCATTGTCTCTGTGTGGAATAGCACAGCTAGGTGATCTGTTAAGTTGAAATTCTTCAGTTGCATTTATAGTTTGAAGTATTAGCTAAAATGTCATATTCATTCATTTATTGTAAACTTAGCTTATCAAGACGATGTACCGCCCATAAAAGTATGATGTTCTGTGCTTAGAACCTGTGTTTAAATATATTGATGGTGATTATTTTACTAAAGTATAATTAATATGATTTGAAATTATGTTTAAATATTTTGAACCTAATTTTCATCAATAATCTATCTGAATGACTAGCACAATTTCACTGTTTAAAGTAATGAATTCAATCGGGTGAATATAGGGTGTACTTTGTTGATCAATAATTACCCATCAACCAAGTACAGATTCTCATATTGCAGACGTACTTCAAACGATACTACTTCATCGCTTGAAACGAATTAGGCAGGACTACATTCGAACCTGACAATTATCCAATCCTTTCTAATTTTTCATTTGAACTTGAACTAATCTTTCTTCAAGATGAAGACAAATGTATGCTTTAATTTTTCATAATGTTTAGAATAACTTTAAGTTTCATCTAATTCAAATTGTTAGTAGTAGTGTAGTGAACGAGAACACAGGTGGGGTGACCGGATTATATCTAACGAAGATTACAGAGTTACTCAGTAAAATCGGAACACCATATCGTAAATCGTTAATTTGCAAAATATCAGTCCATCATATCGAACTGGACTGTTACTGTTGCAAAACATCAATCATTGTCTGACATTCCACTGTTCATGCGTTTCATACAAATTCCATTGTTTTCTAACTTTTCCTTTCTTGATCTTCCCCCATCTTCTGCTGCCAGACATTACATTGACACTCACTACTTATAAGTAGCGCGCACCACAGTAGTATTGTTAAAGATTCCCATTGTGAATAGTAAAACAACACATTTAAACGAACAATATAATTTTCAATTAGATCATCATGAGGCTTTACTCTAATGTACATGTATTGCTTGCTTACTCACTTACTTTCGTCTGTTACCCCTAATGGAGCATAGACCGCCGACCAGCTTTCTACAACCTATTCTCTCTTAGGCTTTCTTATCCAGTTCTGCTCGACTGTTGTTCATTCATCTCATGTCTGTCTTCAATTCTTGGCGTAATGTGTTTCTTGGCCTTCCTCTTTTCTTTTGTCCTTGAAAGTTCCAAGTGAGAGCCTGTGTTGTGACGCAGTTGTTTGCTTTCTTCAATATGTGTCCTGTCCACTTCCAACACTTCTTTCAACATTCTTTCTCCACTGGAGTGTGGTTTGTTCTTTCCCACGTGAATATTTTCATATGAAAATGTTAAATTAACCAAGGCAATTTATGAGTCAATAATCACAATGAAACAGATTACGTAACTACACAAAATAAATAGGTAAAAGTACAAGTGGATAGTAAGAAGACAGGTTTACTGTTGGTAGTAAGGATAATAAAATACAATAATAGAAGTTTATGTTAATAGTTCAACATTGGAACTTGTATGTTAAACTTGGATAAACAGACTTAAAATAATAATCGCAAAGCTCGTTTAGAATTACGCAATAAGAATATAGATAATCAAACAGTGAAAAATATAAACGAAAGGAGGTCAGGAAATGACAAACAAACACAGGATGTGAAAAGAATATGACTAATAGTAAAATAGCTTATTAAGTTATATCCAACCAATGAAGGGACAAGAGTGCCACGAATTTCTTGTTAGCAGTTGAATTTGGATTGAGGTTATAGATACCCATGGCTTTTGCTATATACAGGAGATGGTATCGAATGCCGTTGAGAAATGTAGGTATACGATAGATCACTGGAAATAGTCCGCTTTTATCTATATTTTGAGTACTGTTAGCGGGACATAGATGGAATTGAAGCACGACTACGTTGCTGCGCGCTGATTGGCTAATTTCCTATCCAATCAGCGCCTGATCGAAGCTTGGAGAACAGGATAGAAAATTCTCGTATTGTTAGCTGCATGCTGATTGGTCAAATCCAGTCCAGTCGATCACGTGAATTTTCTTCCAGAAGTTTTCTCATCTAAAGGCTATAAATAGACTCGCATTGTATTTATCTTTGCCTTCTTCGCCTTGGCTTTCACCATCACCTCCAGCTTCTTTTTCCTTGCTATTTTGGAATACAATCCTTCCTGTTCAACCGTGTTCTGATTTGGGTTACTTGTCCAGTGTTTTGTGTCAAGAATACTAAGCAATAAGATTTAGCCGGGAAATATCTTAATCAACCGTTACAACAAGTACTATCAATCATCTGTGCAAGGATCAAGCTACGTATCGTCTTGATCTATTTCATTATGATTATTGACTTATGAATTGCTTTCATCGGTTAATTATTTTCAAATGAATATTCATGTATATTAGAGTAAAGCCTAATGACGATCTAATAGAAAACAAAGACATGACCAGTAGAGTTCAGCAATGTTGGATGTAGGCAGTAACTACCGAACACAAATGGTTGAGGTCTCACAAAATCCCTAAGTTGATCAAAGTTATACATTAACACCGTTAGATGACAGCCGGCCCAGTGACCCAGAGGTTAGGCGTTCACGCGCAAGACCGAAGGTCCTGGGTTCGAATCCTGCCAGGAGCAGGAGTTGTGGATACACACTTTTGGTGAGTCCCATATTAGGACGAAGCGGCCATTCAGTGCTTGCAGGTTTCTAATAGTAGTCTAACAATGATTGATTAATTGATTTCAAATGTGTAAAAACACTAATCTCCATAACTCTAATCGAAAAAATATACTTTAATTAAGAGTTTGGAAGATAAAATTGTTTAGATTTATTCATCAGCAGTGCGCATCCGCGACTTCTACACCTCACAGGATTCAAACTCAGGACCTTCGGTCTTGCGCGTGATCACCTAACCTTTGAACCACTGAGCCGGTGGCATCTAACGGTATTCATGGCCGACATCATGATTAGATAATCTAGTTAAGGGAGAGAGAGAGAGAGAGAAACCTTCCGAATTCTTCTTCACAGTCAAAAAAATCTACATACCACTCTGATTATACACTTGTCTTCTGTTTTTAATTTCACTGTGTTGTATCACACAACTGAATCATTAACACACACACACACACAAACACAAAAACGCACAACTCAATTTTTACTTAAGCTACATACATGTGATTCATGACAAAAGTGAACAAACACACACTTCAGTCATCTCACCAATAAGAATGCAAATTAAAAAAAAAACTATGATTACAATGTTCAATTTTATCAGCTGATCAGCAGTTTTCACGTACAGTTTATTTATATACTATACTGAGTTGCAATAAAAAAATTAAAACAATATTTGATTCAAACTTAATACTTATTTGCATTACGGGGTTGTGAAGATTGTTAATTTACACATTTTTGAAACCATGAACCGATCAACGTTAGACCACTGTTAGAAACCTGGAAGCACTGAAAGACGGCCGTTTCGTTCTGGTATGGGACTCCTCAGCAGTGCGCATCCACGACTCCTGCACCCCGCAGGATTCGAACCCAGGACCTTCGGTATTGTGCGCGAACGCATAACCATCAGACCACTGAGCCGGTATCTAACAGTGTTAATGTCTAACTTGATCAAATTCATGGAGTTGCGCAACCTCATACACAGTCTTCGGTAGTTACTGTCTACACACGAACAGGTTGAACTTCACTGGTCACGTCTTTCATGTTAATTAATGTAAATGAGTTGGAGTGTATTATTAGTTGAATATTTAACCGGTAGGTATGAACAATTTGGGATACATATTTGTCCCTTGTTTTATTAGAAGTTAGTGAACATCATGTATTAGTCATGAAAAAA